AATATAATAATATATTAAAAAAAAGTATAAATTTTTTTAAATATTACCAAAATATAATTTATTTCTGCGAACAGTATCACCTTCAAACAATGTACAAAGTTGCTGTATAAGTGATTCGATTAAGAGACTGACAGAAGGTGTAACTAGGCTCACAACTTGTCCACTGTTGTGACTACTATCATTGTCCACACATATTGTAGTTTTTGCATCACTGCCTGATGACAATATGAACAGAATAATAAAATCAGTTAGTAGAACCACTATACGAACATAAAAATCTAAATCAGCTTTAGTCAACATTTTGCTATAATTTAATATATATATCTAATTGTTACACAATTTTTGTACTGAGACGGCACTTTTCGAATACTATTTCAGAAACAATTAAATGAAGCAATACAACAATAATATTCGAAATATATGAACTAAAAATATAAAATATCTTTATGTAATCAAATTGTTAAAAAATGTTTTTAAAATTACGCGGGTTTTTTAAGGTTATATTATATACCTGTATCAAATGTCGTCATTGTGGATAATGTATTCCAAGGATTAATTGATGGTGTAGTGTTATCTTCCATTATTAAATCGGCAGCAATTTCCACATTGATACTTCTATTAATAAAATCATAGAAAGTTTGAAGCAGTTTGGAACCCTTCTACGTGACAAAAAGAATTATTCAACCTCTGTTTTACTAGTGATAAAGACCAATAAAACTGCATACCATTGCTGACCATTGCATACGACCACATCACACCACATACAACACATACCACACTGCGTGCAAACTCAGCTTCCGCTAGGGAAAAAATTAGCGGAGGGGGAAGGGCGTTTAGTGAAGTTTGTATCAAATTATTCGGTGTACATACATATAATTAATAAAAAACTTCCATCAAAATATATGATCTTCAATGTGTATGCAGTAGATATTAATGGTTCAAGAAATTACAAAAAAATTACTCTGTTATTACACAACAAATTGAACACTTTTCTTTGCAAAATAAATTTTTTTTTTTTTTTTTCAGCAGTATGTCTAACGCAAACACTTGGCAAATAATACAAAAACAGAAAAATAGCAGTCACAATAGGGCGCTGAATCTGTCCACTCCTTACATTTTATTTTATTAAAAGAAGAACCTGTAAGTGGACCATTCCCAAATAGCACAAAAACGTCTTATGTACGTCCGATGGGCGTACGTTCCGGACGTTGTGTACATTCGGAGAATGTCCCGAAAAGGTCAGTATGTCCCCGTTAGGTCCTTGTTAAGATTTTTAAATGTCCTAAGCAGGTCATATTTACAAAGTGGAACGTCCTGAGGACGTCCTGTGTCAACATTCTCAGAAACGTTTAAAGAGATTTTAAAAATGCTATGGTAATGTCTTAAAAGCCGTATAAGAAACGTTTTCGAAATGTTTAAAATTGCGGTTAGGTTTCATTCTGTGCAAGGTGACAGGAGTTAGGTTAGGTATTATTATGTGCTCGCCGCCAAAGACGGAGGTAGTCATGTTTCATGGACTGCCTCTGTCGCGGCGGGTCCCCCA